GAGCGCGGTTTCCCACCGAAGTGGTGGAGCTGTTTGAGCTCGGTCACAAAGCCGCTCGATCCTCGTAGCCACGATTTAAGTGCTGGAATCGTCCTGCTGCTGAGCGAGCGTTTGTACCCTCGCGCTGAAACTGGGGGAGATGAAAAGAGACAAACGGGCCTTGCGGCGCTGCTAATTAGCGCTGTGAGGAAGCCGAGCCTTTTCACCGCCCGTCCTTCGGTATCGCGCTGCCTCTCTGACGAAACCCCGGTACCCGACGAGCTTCCGTGGGCTTGCGCGTTTCTGATGAATCGCTTCGCCGGTCGCCATCTCTAGGGTGGCAGCGAGCAGCTTTAGCGTCTGCTCCACATCTTCTCTCCCACGGGAGGAGCGGTTCTGCCACGGTAAATGCGTTTGGACTGCTTGTCTGGTCTCCGGTACCTACAGCCAGATGCTTGCTCTGATCTTAAACCCGGTCTCCAGAGCTGCCCGGCAGGCAGGCGAGGGGTCCTGCTGCACCGTGGGGCATCGCTCGTCCCTCCCCGTTTTGCCTTCGGTAGGCTCCTCCGTGCTGATGTCCTCCTACTCTTAATCTTGCCAGGCATGGGCTGCGGCCCCGTCGTGCCCTCCGCGCTGGGCGGTGTTGCAGTAGCTGCTGTGTAAGTGCAGCCGTGCTGGGGAGGGATCTGCCTGACGTCTGCTGCGAAGTTGTCTCTTTCTGCTTCGGCTTTTCCACCCAATCCCTTGTAACATCTGCAAGGGGAATTTCAACAAAGCCCAAGGTTAATATTTACCAGCCAGATTTGCTGCAAATGAGACAACTTCAAGCAGACGTTGAATTAATATGATGGAGACCAGTTTCCAAAAATAGCTGTCAGCCACTCTTCTTTGACAGAAACGTAAATTTGTGCTGGAGCTAAGTTTCCTTCTCAATTTATTTCCCTCCACTCCTGACAGCGGCGGCGGGAGCGGGCTCTGCGCCGCCGTTGTGCCGGGGAAATGCCCCCGCGCTCCGCTCTCCTCCACCAGCGTTGGGGCGACCTGGCGCCGCAGGGGTTCTGAGCAGCGTGTTGGAGTCACCGTGGCACGGACAGGGCAGGAGGAGGGTTTGCTGTGCCTCGCCTAGGGAAAACGACGGCCCTTAGGCTCGTGCTTTTGCACCTTGGCTCATAAAGCACATTGGTGGTCCGGGCTCTCCCAAAAGGAGACCTCACGGATGGAGGGGGGGAAGGCGTTGCTGCTGTGGGATCTTTCCTTCCCCCGCCCTTCCCGTACATCTGTGATAAAGCAGCGCGAGTTGCCAGGCTCGGCCGGGCGGCTTGGCCCCTTCGTCCCACCGCGCCGGGCGTCCCCGTGGCGCAGAGAACCCCGCAGCGGCGCTGCCTGTTTGCGTGCAGGGAAATGGGCCTTCCCCAGGGCGGGGGCGAGTCTG